TGACCGCTTCTCACTCACCAGGTCGAGGAAGGGTTAGCAGAGGCGGACTGCAAGAAGAGGCAAGGCAATGCGAGCAGCTGCACCAGCATTGATGAGAAGTCAAAGAACTCGTGAAGAGTCAGAGTTAGAATAGTTTAATTTCCTTGTTTACATAGGAGTGTAAACTGGAGATCCTGAGTTCTTTCATTTTAATTTTTAACTATTGGGATTGTCATTTGCCCAAGTGTTCAGTCTTTTTGTTTGAAATTCTTAAACCTTGTCGGTTTATTTATTTTAAAAAGTTGTTTGGGTTGCTCCAGAGTAACCGGTTTGTGGTTTGAGTTGTGGTTTGGTTTTCAAAAAGGATCGGGTCGTGTCATTTTTGTATCAAAGCCGACATTCCTCTGTTCCTTGGACTCCAAGGAATACTGGAGTGACGATCTGCATTTTTTTAAGGTTTCAGTTTTTGAAAGGAAAGGAAAAAGGGAGTGTCAGTTAAAAGTTTGGCCAAACGAATCAGAGTCTTTAGAAAATTTTTAGAATCTCCAGTATACTCTAATCATGATAAGGAAATAACTTTAGGATGCCCCATGGGGTTATGATACGTCATGGGAAGAAGAAGGAGCAGGTACCTAGACGGATCGTTAAGTGAAACCCCTTCATGAGTAAGAAGAGGAGGGTCAAGGTAGCTCATATTCTATGGGGATGTGAGCTGATCAGAATAAGGTTATGGAAGGAGCCAAGCAGTTAGTACATCTACTGGTAGAGCCAAGAAGTTATGGCAAATGTCGCTATAATCGAGAGGAAAGGGTGCAAGGAAGGGTCGTGGAGTTCAGGAGAATTGAACATTGGGCTAAACCCCAAGAAGTAGCTGAAAGTTAGACTTTGAAAAATACCAGGGCCACTTCAGCAAGCAAAGGAAGAACTAAGTATATCATAGGGAGCCTCACAAAATGTCATGGGATCAATACATCAAGGCTAGAAGGAGGTACAACTCCTTGCAAAGAGATTATCACAAGTGAAACTTGGAGTCGTCACAACGAACAAATTTCGAGGTCGAAATGTTTCTTAAGGAGGTGGGAAATGTGATGTCTCGATTTTGGATTTAGGTTCAACATCAACTACCAGGAGAATTGGATCAACATGACAAGCCGAATTGGCATTTTGTTTCACCATGTTGGATCAAGCTGGGAAGTAAAAAGGGCAGCGAGACACTTATGGTTACACGAGTGCTGCAAGCTAAGGGAACTTATTTGAGCAAAAGGTACCAACGAAGTTGTTATAGTAAGAGTAGATGATCGTGGGAAGGAAGTATAAGAAGGGTGTTGATAGAAGGATGAGTTCCGAGCAAATTTCGGGGACAAAATTTTTGTAAGGGTGGAGTAAATGTAACACCCCGATACTTTAGATTTAGGTTCGACCTTAATACGTGATCGATTGGATTGACGGTTACGTACTAAGAGTTATAACCGCGGATTAGGAATAATAATAATAATAATAATAATAATTATTATTATTATAGGGGGGGCGAGAGGGCCGGGCGGCCCTCAAATAATTCCCCAACAGCAGAAATCCCCACCCCGCCGCCCTCTCCATTTTTTTCCCAAGGAGGAGCCGCCCTCTCAAATAATCATCTCCAATAACGCCATCACTTTTCTCATCGCGGGCGGAGAAAAAAAAGAAGAAAGGGAGCGCCAACTCCCAATCCCGATCCCAGTCCTGATTTCCTAGCCCATCCCTTTCGTGTTTCTAGGTAAGGATCTAGAAACCCTTCGCGATTTCTAAACTCGATTTATCGATAGTCTAATCCGAAGCTCGTATTTTATTAGCGGTGACGTTTGAGGGTTCGATCAACGAGGAGATCAACGTCCCGGGTCATCCAATCTAGTACTAGGCACATTCTAGAGGTAAGAGAACTCGATCCCTTTGGGTTAGGTCGATTGATTTGGTGATTTTTCGTGAGTGTAGAATTCTGGGGTTTTAGCAACAAACGTTCAGGCTTTTAGTGACAGAATTTGAGTGGTCACTAAAGCTGCTGGGAATTTTTAGGAACTTGTTTTAGATGTTATAAATTGTTTCAAGCCTCTCGGAAGGTTGTTTTCTGAATTTAACAATTTAATAAATTGAGCAACGTCTAGGAGATGGTTGTAATTTAATTTGGGGATTTTCGAAGATGTATTTTAATTTTAGAAATTGTCCGAGCATTCGTTTTAATTAAATGAAAATATTTGTGAGGAGTTTATAAGGTTTTGATAATTTTCCAGGGTATAAGTACTCATGATTGATGTAGGAAAATTATTATCCGAATTTTTAAGAAGGTTCAAGTTAGGTGAAAAATTCGTTCAAGATAAAAATAATTAAGAAAAATAGTCGATTTTGAAGGGAGTATTTGGAGTTCCCACTTGTCCACTCCATTACTACACATCACACGAGAGTCATTAGTGATTGTCTCCAAACCACAGGACGTGTGAATAGATCTTATGAATTTGATATAATACTTTCTTAGTAAAAACAAAAAAAATGGCATCCAGTACTACACAAAAGAGTAAAGCACTAATGAAACTACTGAATACGACATGCATAAGATAATTTGTTCTCTCCATGAGAAAATCCCGTTGGTTAGTTGGTCAACCAATACCTCACAGTCTCTACTTATAAGCGTCCTAGAGCACAAAGGCATCCCAAAAATAACAAATTAAGAGGGTGCCTTCCTTCAAACCAGTAATAGTCAGGGCATTCTGCTTGAAACCCGAAGCAACCCCACCAAAAAGAGCTCACATTTATTCGTAACACATCAGATTCCAAAGATCATATATAATTTTTCCAAGCTCTTCCTCACATTGTTTAGGGCAGCATCTGATCATTCAGTAAAGATCAATAGATTATCCTCAAAAAATAGGTGCATGAGATCTATTACATTGCACTAAGAGTGATAGGGGATGTGTGCAGATTGAGCAGCTAGATCCACCATCCAAGAAAGAGGCTCCAAAGCCATAGTGAATAAGTATATATGGAGAAAGTGGGTCTCTCTGCCTTACACCATACTTGGCAGGGAAGTACCCAAACAAAGAACCATATATATTGATACTGAGGAATGCATATTTAAGGCACACACGAATCCAGTTAATGTAAGTTCTAGGAAAGTCCACCCTTCTGTCACACAAAATAGAAAAATACTAATCAACATAATCAAATGCCTTGTGTAGATTAATTTTCAAAGCACCTCTATAAGCAATATCTTTTCTTTCATAATTTTGTGTCATCTCTTATGCAATTAAATTGTAACATAGGATGCTTTTTCCTTTAATAAAAGCCAACTGGTTGTGGCTAATTACACTAGGAAGGACCTCCTGGATTCTATTTGCTATGACCTTTGAAATTATCTATATAAAAGGATATTGATACATGCAATAGGTCGAAAAGAAGTTAATGATGACTACATATTTACACATGTTTTATCCCTAATTTCTTGATTGTTTAGCATGGTGTTTATCATAATTTGGCCTATTTTATGCTAGGTTATGTTCCTTTGTCACATTTCAGGTCCTAGCACGTAAAGTGAAGCATAGGCGCAAGTTTCAAGTCAATTAGAGATCATTTGGCGACTCGGGGGGAGAAACTCGGGCACGACCTGAAAAAGAATGGATTACTGCCTCATATAATCATTTAAGCTTATCATTAGAATGAAGAGGACGAGACTACGAGTGTCTGGGATCAAATGACACCTGATTCGTAGTCAAAACGAGGGAGAAACGAAGAATCAAAGACAGGGGACCCGAAATTGTGAAATAGCCGGTCAGGAGGTTCAATTTACCCGATAGGGTATTTCGATAAGAAGACCCCCCGATCAGGAAGTTCCAATTACCCGACCAGGTATTCGAAAAATCCGAGCGCGTAATTCCCCTTTTGCACAGAAAAATTACCCGGAGCATTTGGAAGATCCCCGGTCACCAGATCCAATTACCCGATCGGGTGATATGACCGGGTAACTTCTAGAAGCGGGTATAAAAGCCTATTTTGTGCATTTTTGGACATGGAAAGCTGGGTTTTGGATCCCCAATAACCAAGGGACAAACCAAAGAAGGAGAGGGCAATCTTGGGGCAAAATTGGAGGATTTCTTCGCCTTGGAGGCTCAAGGAACAAGCCCGGACTTGAAGACTGATCAACTGAAGATTTTTACTGCGGTCTCTCTCTTCTCTATGGAGTAACTTTCCTTTACTTAAGTTTTGATAAACCCTAGCCATGTTTGTTTGATTGGATGATTGTATGAGTACTTCTATGCATATTTTCATGATTCAATTATGTTTTAGTCGAGATTATTGATTCCACTTTGATCCTATGAGAGCGAATACATGATTAGGTCAATAGAGCTTCATAGATTGATAGTACTGGATCGATTGATTTAGTTGAGGGTCGATTTATTGCTTTGTATCGATTGAGAACCTCATTCGATAGAGATGGTCTAGTTCAGAATGCCTTGATTGATTGTTCTAGAGAAGGATACATATATGACTCGTCTCGAATACCACAATAAAAATCCCAATCAGGCCCAAATATAAACCTTAATTGGGTTCAATATAGGGAATGTATGTCTTAAAAGTCAAACCCGGGCCAACCACGTACTCCTTCTATTGTTTGAAACATTATCTAGCAATTGATTTTTGGTTGGAACCACGATTCAAAACTAAAGCTATTGGAAAAGTAAATGGTGTGAACACTCGTTGAGAAGACTTCACCCGGGTGTTGTTCCTAGGGATGGCTATTTGGTTTAGGCTTTTTGGTTTTACCGAAAACTGGACCGTATAACCGGGACCAGAACTAAATAGCAAACAATCCAATCTCATATCCATGCATAGATTTGAGGTAAAAAAACCCGTTTGGGACTGGATCGAAAACCGGATAAAGATCGGATAAGAGAGCCCAACACCCAAAAATTAACCACCTACTCACCTTTTGAGGCCTCAGGCCACTCAAATCCCCACAAGCTCAATCTAAAATCAAGACCTAATTGGGACCATACCATATTGATAAGCCGTTAATTGCACATGTTTTTACCCCTATTCTGGAGCCGTTTGAGATGGTAATTCTCGTGTTTTAGGCCGATTTCACGCTAGGTTGTGTTTGTTTATGATATTTCAGGTCCTAGCAAGTGAATGAAGGTTTAGGAGCGAGTTCGGGGTCGATTGGACGAAGATCGGGCGCGAGGCAAGTCAAAAAGGAAGCCACACGGGCACACACAGAAGCCACACGGCCGTGCAAGTGACCATTTTGGCCGTGTGGAATTATGCGAGCCTTCACACGGCCAACCCTCATATTCACACGGCCAGCCCTGATATTCACACGGCCGTGTGAAGTTGCATTTTGGCCGTGTGGATTTCTGCGAGGCTTCACACGGCCAGGCTGGGTGAGCTGCACGGCCGTGTGACCCTGGCCGTGTAGGAAGCCTGAAGTGCTATTAATCGGAACGCGGCGTTTTGACCTCACACGGGCAACTGGGTATGCCACACGGCCGTGTGGCCCTGCCCGTGTGAGTCGGGAATTTCTGGTTTTTACCCAATTTCGGGCTGCAAGGGAGAGAATCGAGTTTTGAGAGCAAAAACAGAGCCCTAGAGAGAGAAAGTACGAAGAACACATCCTAGAAGCTATCTTGGAGCTGGGTTTCATTAAATGAAGCTTGGAGATCGTCATAGGAGTGGAAATCATCATCCCAGAGCAGATTTTCCTCATCTTTATGAGTATGACTACTCTGTATTCTGTTTTCCTCTCTCTCTCTATGGAGTAGAACCCTTCTCTCACTTGTGTATGAAGAACCCTAGTTCTATGTGTTAGGGATTTGATTGTAATGAGTTGGGATGATATTACTGCTTGGTTTTAATCGAATGATGCATGTTTATTGAGTCAATTGAAGCCTGATCTGCTTTTCCTGATTTCTGCTGCAACCTGAGATAGATAGAATCTGATTAGGTTGTTAGAGCCTCATCATTCGGGAGTAGGAGATTGGCTATACGAGAGTTAGCCAGTTTACTGCTTTGTACTGGAATTCAATTCCAGTAGTGGAGTTCTGTTCTTACTGCTTCAGCTTTCTATCCCGGTGAAGACTAGTCATCTGCCGGGTAGTTAGTCTGAGAGGGCTTGGTCAGCTTAAGAGATTCCAAGCTACTGTCGGATCTTTCGCACTCTAATCAACAGTAAATCAACCCCGGGAAATTACAATTGAAACCTAACTAAGGAGCTAGGGGGACTCATTCCTGAGTGACTCTTCTTTGCTTGAGAAAACCGTACCAATTCCTGCTTTCTTTCTGCTTTTGCTTTAAACAACAACCACTTAACTTAGTTGGCTAGATAATAGATAATCACTGAGTAAGCAGTAGATCTAGACCCCGGGTTGATAATATAACTTGCCACTTTACAGCATTCCCGGTCTGCGATTACACATGGTCGCAGATTGGTGTTGTGTTTTGGAGTGTCAAGTTTTTGGCGTCGTTGCCGGGGACCCTCTAAGTTATTGGGGAAACGTGAAAGTCTGTTACTTTAGCTTTTTTCTTTTCTTTTCCACCCTTGCTTTTCACTTGGGTGTTATGTTTTTGTCGTTGCAGCTCTGAAACATGGATCCTCATGGCTTCTCCAACCATTGGGGGTATCAACCACCATCCGTGTGGTATTACCCCGAGACTTTCTGGAGCAATCAAGGAGGAGAAGACTATGGATTCGAATGTCAGTACCAACACCCCTTCTACGGAGAACAACCAAACCCTTGCGAACCTCAAGGACAATATCCTTTTCAAGAAGAGTTCCTGCCACAACCAGAGGGGCCATCTGAGTTGGAGTTAGCCATGGAGGCCTTCACGGGTTACTCTGCAGAGCCATGCTACACTTCACTGGAAGATCCGAACAAACAATTAAGGCTTCTCGTGGAGCAGTTTGCTCGAGACACTGAGAGAGCATTCTCCAAGATGGATCTTCAAATCCAAGCCCTTGCCTCTTCCGATCCCTCATTTCTCCATGATATGGAGGAGACTGTTCAGCGCTCAGCGAAGCAAACAGAGTGGGTGGAGCAAGTTTGCTCACATCTTGCTCAAGATCACTTTTCTGCTACCACGCTAGAAGAGGTGGAGGACGACAAAGGCTACGGGAGCGTTGTGGAGCATACAGAATTTATCACAGAGAACACCCATGATAGTCATGATCAGGAAAGTCCTTTGGTTGCAGATCAAACCTTTCCTCATTTATGCTCTAACATGTTGGGCCCGTGCGAGGAGATGCAAGATGATCCCACTGAAGAAATTGCTTGGCCACTTGCTCTCCAATTTTTTCTAGAAGAAGAAGAGCGAGCAAGGATGAGGAAGGAAGTTGTGGAGGATGAGGAAGAAAGAAAAGAAGAGGTAGTTCTTGATCTTTTCCAAGGGGAGAGACCACATTTTGAAGAAGGAAGGGGGGTTGAGGAAGCAATTGGCGTCCAGGCTGAGGATGAAGTTGAGGTGGAAGAGGCTTGCACAGGCCCTATGTTACATTTAATATCTCCACCAAACTTCAAGGAGCTGCTTGGTAAGGACCCATTTGTAGTGTCTCTTGGCCAGACCAAGGCTACATCAACATCGATCCCTCTTGGTGGATGCGATGGTGGTCAATCGAATATATCTTATCTGGTTTGGGGCAATGAGACAAGAGCAGACGCGAAGGAGAGGTCTCGAGAGGGGAGACTTCATCTTCCTCAAGGCCACGAGCCATCTTCATCACCTATCACATCACATGCTCGTGACTTGAGACTCCACCTCATTAATGAGAACATCAACTTCAAGGAGGTTCTAGGATGGACCGAAACTTAGGAGCCACCGTCCGGCTCACGATGATAAAGAAGCGCTTGTGGGGAGGCAACCCCACCTAGGTTTGCATTTTCTTACCTTTTTCCTTTTGATTTTTTGTGTTTTTTGAGTCTTGGCGACGAGTAGGCTGTACTTGTCGCCCCTCAGTGTGTTTTTGTTTTAGACTTTTTTCTGTTTGCTCCATGTGTTTGAGGAGCTTGAACTGAGTTTGTCGTGTGTTTTGTTTCTTTTCTTTTGTGGATTGTGCTTTTGTGGCCATCTGGGCCAGCTCTGATCCCTAACGAACATGTGCTAGTGTGTTCTTTTCGTTCCCTTAGTGCAGAACTGTCCGTTCGTTCCATATGTCCACGCTGACTGGTCCACTTCCAGTCTCCCGCAGCATTTCAATCCGGTAACATCGTTCCCCTTCTCTATCCCTCTGCTCCATTGAGGGCAATGTCGTGCTTAAGTGTGGGGGGGGGGGGGGGTGCTTTGTATCGGTTCGAATGTATATACGTGTGCTTGGAGCCTAGTCCACTGTCCAAATCTCGAGATTTGAGGGCTCCAAGTACGGCTGTTTGATTATATTGGCACTGTGTTTTGATTGGTGAATTGAATGGTTTTCGGATTAATGCATGACAACTGGATGGTGATTAGGACAACCTATAATGATGACTGAGACGTGCAGTAGAATTGTGTAGGGTTCAGATTTTCAACTGTTTGCTTACCAACTGTGACTTGGATTGATTACTTGTTGTTGACAGTCTCTTATGCATCTAGTTCAGGGAATCAGAATGAGAGATAGAGCATATAGGTAGCCATGTGAGATTTGAGACTGCTCGTTTCTTTCTTGTGCGATAGTTCCCTCTTCTATGATGTGTAGCATTCACGTTGTCATTAGCTAAGATGATGGAGGCATAGGATTAGCCCACGACCAAATTGACTGTCCTGGTGTGTCATACCCCCTAGTCAGCCCCTTTGAGCCGTGTGATTATCCTTTCTTTCGGTCTTCAATGAAAAGTCACCCTTTTGCATCTTTTAGAAGGTTCCACAGAGTGATTTTTACATGTTCACTGCTGTTTCTGCTAAATATAATGTGAGAGTTGGAGGTAGTTCTTAAAAAGTTGGGCAGGTGTTTGAAAAGGTGCAGAGGTGGTGGTTCTCTTAAGAAATGGAAAAAAAATGAAAGAAAAACAAAGAAAAAATGAAAGCAAAAGTAAGCCACCACCAAAAATCTTAATAGTGCCCATTAAGTAGTGTTTCTTAGCCGTCTGGCTTAGAAATACTGGTACTTATGGGACCTCCTTCGCTCTTGTGCTCTGAATTTGAGTAATGCATAATAGCAGAAAGAAAGTACTGGTTGATTGACTGTGAGTTTGTTGGGTTTGGAATTGTGGAACCTTATGCTTTGAATACTTCCACCACCTAAAAGGCCTTTTCCCCATGTCCAAGAACCTAGCCAGTCATTTGAACCTGTGTCTAAGACCTCCTGATTAGTTAGTGATGACAACCATTTATGTGAACTCTAACCTTTAGAGGCTGCCGTCATGGTGAAGAGATGTTAGGAATTGAGAGAATTAGTATGCGCATTTTTCGCATCAAATTGTCCTGACCCCACTGGTCGAGAGTGAGCGATTCATTTCCTTGTTCTTTACACTCTTTACCCGGTGAGGACCTAGATGGCTCGGTCTTGATTCTGATGTCTTGAGTTTTATGCATGAGTTGACTGTCTTGAGTGAGTGATTGAGTCAAGTTTATGTTGGTTGATGAACAGAAGGGAGACTCCTCCTTTACTCGATTTTGTTGCACTCGAATGTCTTCTGTGGTGGTTGTCCAGGTTGCTATTGAGGTTGTTCATGTGTTGATGTTTGAAAACCAATATGATTCACGTGTTCTGTGCCTATATGATTTGTCCCCAATGTTGGTATGATTGAATTATGTGAGCTGACCTTGTGTCTGACTTGGTTTGTTGGGGACAAGCAAACGGTTAAGTGTGGGGGAGTTTGATAAGCCGTTAATTGCACATGTTTTTACCCCTATTCTGGAGCCGTTTGAGATGGTAATTCTCGTGTTTTAGGCCGATTTCACGCTAGGTTGTGTTTGTTTATGATATTTCAGGTCCTAGCAAGTGAATGAAGGTTTAGGAGCGAGTTCGGGGTCGATTGGACGAAGATCGGGCACGAGGCAAGTCAAAAAGGAAGCCACACGGGCACACACAGAAGCCACACGGCCGGGCAAGTGACCATTTTGGCCGTGTGGAATTATGCGAGCCTTCACACGGCCAGCCCTGATATTCACACGGCCGTGTGAAGTTGCATTTTGGCCGTGTGGATTTCTGCGAGGCTTCACACGGTCAGGCTGGGTGAGCTGCACGGCCATGTGACCCTGGCCGTGTAGGAAGCCTGAAGTGCAATTAATCGGAACACGGCGTTTTGACCTCACACGAGCAACTGGGTATGCCACACGGCCGTGTGGCCCTGCCCGTGTGAGTCGGGAATTTCTGGTTTTTACCCAATTTCGGGCTGCAAGGGAGAGAATCGAGTTTTGAGAGCAAAAACAGAGCCCTAGAGAGAGAAAGTATGAAGAACACATCCTAGAAGCTATCTTGGAGCTGGGTTTCATCAAATCAAGCTTGGAGATTGTCATAGGAGTGGAAATCATCATCCCAGAGCAGATTTTCCTCATCTTTATGAGTATGACTACTCTGTATTCTGTTTTCCTCTCTCTCTCTCTCTATGGAGTAGAACCCTTCTCTCACTTGGGTATGAAGAACCCTAGTTCTATGTGTTAGCGATTTGATTGTAATGACTTGGGATGATATTACTGCTTGGTTTTAATCGAATGATGCATGTTTATTGAGTCAATTGAAGTCTGATCAGCTTTTCCTGATTTCTGCTGCAACCTGAGATAGATAGAATCTGATTAGGTTGTTAGAGCCTCTTCATTCGGTAGTAGGAGATTGGCTATACGAGAGTTAGCCAGTTTACTGCTTTGTACTGGAATTCAATTCCTGTAGTGGAGTTCTGTTCTTACTGCTTCAGCTTTCTATCCCGGTGAAGACTAGTCGTCTGCCGGGTAGTTAGTCTGAGAGGGCTTGGTCAGCTTAAGAGATTCCAAAATACTGTCGGATCTTCCGCAGTCTAATCAAAAGTAAATCAACCCCGGGAAATTACAATTGAAACCTAACTAAGGAGCTAGGGGGACTCATTCCTGAGTGACTCTTCTTTGCTTGAGAAAACCGTACCAATTCCTGCTTTTTTCTGCTTTTGCTTTAAACAACAACCACTTAACTTAGTTGGCTAGATAATAGATAATCACTGAGTAAGCAGTAGATCTAAACCCCGGGTTGATAATATAACTTGCCACTTTACTGCATTCCCGGTCTACGATTACATTTGGTCGCAGATTGGTGTTGTGTTTTGGAGTGTCACATATCAAGACCGGACTGTATCGAATCCAATCTTTGGTCCTTATATTCTCGAAAAGACCAGACCAGGACCGGATCAATTCGGGCCAATTTAACCGGACTGGACCGTATAGCCACCCCTAGTTGTTCCCCTAGCTAGCTATAAAGATGAGTTAAACCGAATGAAAGTGCATGGTAAAGGTGGTTGCTAACCGTAGGGAAGCGCAACAAGTGAATCGGGTTTACTCTCTTAATCAATTGGCTAAGGGGCTACAAGCCAAGCTACCTAGGTGACTCTCTTAGCAAACGGCTAAGGTGCTACATGCCAAGCTACCTAGGTGACTCTCTTAACCAAAATCCGGACGGCTAAATCGCAACCAACACAAGGTGCTTAAATGTAGTAAGATGTTTGCTCTAATTTGACCTATGTAGGTAACTCAATTAGGCCATTGAAACCCAAATTTTGAAATCCTCTTCACAAGAAGGGGGTTTCCCTCTACCTAGGTCAAATTGGCAAAGTAGTTGGAAATGACCAACACAACACAACATCAATGAAAATACCTCAATACTTGCATTCAAACACAACCATACACGAACCATTCAATTCATACAAACTTTCACATGTTTCTAGCTAGGGTTCACAAACACCCAAGTGAAATAAACGATCACTCCATGCTAGGTAGAAAGAATACACAAAGTAGAGAAGGGAAAACCATCTTGGAGATGAATGCTTTCTTCCTTTTGTGTGGAAATTCCCAAAATCTTGACTTGGATGAAACCCTAGCCTCCTTCCTATTCCTTGCTCGTCACTCTCTCTCTCTATATAAGTCTTGAATAAGAAGAAGTTATCTCACTAGGTTCTCTCTCTCTTTCTTCCTTCAGCTCAACTCTCTTTATATACCCAGATCGAAGGAATTTCACGGTCCCAGTTCACGGCCATGAACATTAGCTAGGGACAGTGATCTCGAGCAAAAGTGTACCATTTGACTAATGCACTTCATGGTCCAAGGCAAGTGTTCAGGGTCCAGCAACCATGAACCAGTCAAGGTCCAATGAGATGCGCAAAAACCTCTGGAACCATTGCTTTTCATGCTCGGGGCGCGATCTTCACGGTTTTAGCGGCCGTGAACTCGTGGCTTCCACTGTGATCTACAGCTGTCCTCCCCTTTTGGCCTGTTTTCGCTCCTTTTCATCGAACTTTCATTCTCAGATTGATTTTACCTGCTAGGGTATGAAACATAGCAAAACAAAGCACAACCTAGCGTAAAACCAAACCCCATTGGTTGAAAACGCCTCAAACATCTAAGGAAAAAGGGAATAAAATGTGTGCATTTTGACCTGAATCACTCCCCCACACTTAGACGTTTGCTTGTCCCCAAGCAAACCAATTCCAAACAAGGTAATATCTCATTCGAACAAAATAACTTGGGGACATATCAAAGGGCTCAAAGTGGGTGAATCTCAATGGCTATTGAACCTCAACACATGAATCGTTACAAGCAATACCGGCATCCACCACAAATGACATTCGAATGCATTAAGAACGTGCAAACGAAAAGTTCTCACCCTGTTCAAAAATCAGTACAAGTCTCAATCAGACTATTCACCAACCACAAATACCCGTGCATAGAACTCAAGTTCAAGGAACAAACGAATGGGCAACTTAGGTCCTCACCGGGATAAGATATGAACATGCAAAATGAGGACGAATCACTCAATCTCGACCAATGGGGTCAGGACTTTTTGGTTCAAAATATGTGCACAATTATCAATACTCTACCCTATCGTCTCTCCACCGCGACGACAACATCTAAATGCTAGAGTTCATGGGATGGTTGTCGTCACTAGCTTGTTCGAGGTCTTAGACACAAGTTCAAATGACTGGCAATTGTCTTAGACATGAGGAAAATGCCTTTTGGGTGCTGGCAGGCAAAGCATGAGGTTCTACATCTTCAAACTAAGATACAAGGTTCTATAGTTTCGACTAGAACCTTTCCTATGATGAAAGGCCAGTAGCATCGGCCAAAAATCATACTTTCCTTCTTCCAAACCACTACCAATCACGAACTTCATCCAAGCACACTTCTTCGGCCAATCTTGCTATCTACAATTCAGGCAAAGTAATGAAGGAGGTCAACAAGCAATTAGGTGTTTCAATGGCTTGAGTGCCAAGAGACCCTTTCTAGAGCAAACACATCATTTCTTCATGGCAACTCTCTATCTCTATTTACCCCATTTATTACTTCTTTTTCGATTCCTTTTTCTACTTTCTTTTTCTTTCTTTTTTTTTTTCTTTTTGAGGGTGGTACTAGAGAGCCAAACCCATGCAATTTTTACACATAACGAACAAATGCACTCTCTTAAGAATTTTCCTCTAACACTACCTTTTCATTCCTAGTAAGAACCGTGCAAAATCCAGCTATGTAGAACCTCAATGGAGCTCAAAAGCGAGAACTCCGAAACACAAGGATGACTCACAACGGGTTAGACACAAAGAAATGAAAGGGTTCGTTCTTTCAATCACCATTAAGCCCAAAAAGCAACAAGCTCCTAACATTAGAACGACCCAAAGTCACACGGCTCAAAGGGATTGAATAGGGGATAAGATGTTTCGGGACATTCAACT